TAGTTGGACAGGAAATCAGAACTCTGAGATATGATATCATACAACTCTGTGAAACCTTTTGATTAATCTCGTAATCTTATCGTAAGATATTAGTTTAGATATTTTCAGTATTTTGTCCCACTCCAAAATTGTCATCCGTTTTTGCATAAGTATATCCTAAGTACTTTGGTAAAATAATTCCAACCAGTGACTACATAAATAACAGATTGCAAACCGTAACACTGTTGTCCTTTTGATTGTATAGAAAACTGTGAAATGCACACTGTCAATCCCAATGGCTGAGCTGAGTCTAAGACCTGGAGTTTGTTGATTTTTGTAGTCTATCAACCGTCACGCTTTTTTGACGTTTATTGATTGCTCAAACTAACAGCCTGGAACTCGATCGTTAGGCTGTTTTCAAATGGATTCTTCACGGATTGCCTCAACTATCATGTACGTATAGGTTGCTATTAAAAATTGTTGATTGAGACAGTAACATCATGGATTTAGTGATTCCGCTCATCTTAAAGTGTTAAAGTCAGTTGGAAGTCATCTGTAAACAAGAAGGCATGACATGGTGAAAGGGAAATACTTTCAATCAGTTAGTTCTATACTCTGGTTAATGTCTATGCCGCATGTAGAGTTTACATAACACATCGGTTGTAACCATGGCTCACTGTCATTACATCCTGTTTTCAGTCTTAGTGTACGTGGTGAGCTTAAACGTCAAGCAACCATTTCGACCACGTTTTGATAACGAAATTCAAGCAATTCCTCGGTCCGTACAGAGCATCGTTTGTGAACTATTAAGCTGCTTGCAGAAAAAACTGTTATCGCTAGCTGATTAATGGCTTTTGTGCCCATTTCCACTCGTCACTCGGACACAGTGAATACCGAACATTAAAATTCACTACGTATTTGTTGAAGTTCTCGTAAGACACTTTGTTTCAGACATTCCTTGAATTATAAACAGAATTTGACTGATTTGGTTTATTTCAAACTGAACACCACACATATTTTCTCGTGGCCTTAGCATTCAGGTGAATCTTTCAGCCAGTTCCCTGAGGCTTTTGCATTGCGCCCATTGCTTAAAAGTGTCAAATTACGGTTCAAGTACGTAACCATTCTGAAACAAAACCGTTAGAACACGAAAACTGGTAGATGCAAGCATTTCGTATTGACTCATCAGTACCAAATTTACAATAACATGAAACGGTTTTTTATATCGAACAGTTAGGAGTGGAAACGTTAATTGTGTGATAATTATTCACACGCCACTTGATATAGCTCCGTTGTTTTCTAACCAACAGAGAAAGTTAATATATCTCTGTCCATATGACAGTTGCATACATTAACCATTTATTCGCACGTGACTCTTTCATTTGTTGTGTTAACTGTCAACAAATCACTCACTGTGTCCTCCATAGAGATTCTCGGTTTCTGATTAAATTTATTTTTGAGCCTCAGTTTTAACGGGAGCTTAATCGCATACTCTGTCAAAGTTCAATTTTTCAACCGTGTGGCTCAGCCAATTCTAAACATGTTCGAGTTGACTACGATCAGTTGGGAGACGACTCGGAAATTTCGTGAGTTGTCCACTGGACGGCAAAATTCTTTAGCTCATCGAAAAGTTCGTAGTTTTGCGCAAAAGTTGTGCAAAAATGGCGCCCGAATATCTGGCCAAAGCGGTTAACAATTTTGCTGCTCAATTTTGCAATCATTTCCAATTATTTTGTCTTCTCGGATTAGTAGTTCAAGTGACCCATGCGCAAGCTTCATCGTGCACTATAGAAATATATCCCGCTTGGAGAACTTTCCAAAAAGTCATTGTCAAAATTAGGCAATAGATTATGGAAACTGAACTTTCAGATGTGTTAATTCATTCGTGACTGCTTTGGGGTCCATTGCAAGTTGATCAATGCGGCTTTTTCATGAGAACGCGGACAACGGTTCAGATATTCAGTAGAACGGGATTATGCATCACTAATGGGATCTACCAATAAGGAATCTTGAGTTTAATGCTTTCTTTTGAAAGGGACCGGTTGAAAACTCTATCTCAGTGAAAAGCTGCAATTAGGTGCTATTTAATATCAC